CAATATTAGTATTAAATTTAAACATATTAATTAATGTTTCTATATAATCAACAATATCTAAATAAAATTAAATTAGTATAATCATAAGTTCGTCAACAACTACAGCTCATTTTCGATCTCGCCTTTGGCAATAGACGTAATGATATTATCCTCATCACTATAACAAATTAAATTCAGAAATGTTTCACAACCAATAAAAAAAATAAAGAAAAAAGGGGGAAAAAAAAAAGACGAAGCGGGAAACAAATAATTAAAGATGGGAACATAATAGTTGGAGCGGCACGCCCAACGCATGCCGGATCCCCAAGCCGAGCATCATTGAGACAAATAAATAAATAAACAACGTACATTATCTTTAAAGGATTTTTATCATTTATATTTTAAAATATAGATAAAAAAATATTTTTAATATTAATTATTATTTAAAAAATTAAATTTAATATTTATTTAATAAATTATATAATTAAAATAATATATATAATTAGTGATAAAATTAATATTAATTTTTATAATTTTTTTATATTAATTAATATAAAAATATATATTAATTACATCTTTAATTTATATTTTTAAATTACAATTTAGATGAAGCTATTTTGAAAAATGTTGTTAATCATTGACGCGTTAAATTGTTTCTTGTTTGCTAAATACTTTTGATTGTTGTTTACTAAAATGATGGGTTTCTTCTTCTTTTAAACGCTTAGTAAGTTGGAGTTTAATGCAACAGTCATTTTGACTGTGTTGTGCTCATCATTGGGAAGGAGTTGCCAATAAGACATTTCTTCTTTTATCCAAAAAGTGTTTTTTAAATTGATTTGTAAGAAAAAAAGAGTTTTAAAAAATATTTTTAAAATTATGAATAAGGATTACTGACACACAAATTTTATGTATTACATTTACATAAAGTTTTAATTATTTATTTTTTCACTTTAATAATTAAGATTTGTCATTACTTTTTAGATAAAAAAAAAAAGAGACAAGTCCCTTTAATAATTATGATAAAAAATAAATAAATATCAATAATTAAAAGTGAAAAGATGAATTATTGAGATTTTGTATGAATTTATTATATATAACTTATATATAAATAGATTCTTACTTTTAAAATTATTTAAATAACCTTAATAATAATATCTAAGTTTATTTCACATGTATTAATAATATTTAAGTTTTTTCAACATGCATTTGAACCAAGCTGAAAATCTGCACTCCCTTTTAAAAAACCCTTTTATTTGGAAAAAAAATATTTTATAATGTAAATTATACAAAACTGTAAAACACTAGACTTATTAGATAAATCTAAATAAATTTGATGTAAGAAGGTGCAAATACCATTAGAAAGCCCAACCCACAATATCAGGCCAACCACAGGCCATTAACAGCCCACAATCCTCTCCCGCTACCTAGCCTCAATATCATGGCTCTGCAACTGCAACAACTGCAATACAGAGACGAAGCCATGAATCTGCTTAAAATCCAACACCACCCTCTCTTTTTGCATATCTCCCGGACTGCCCTTCCCCGCCCCTCCCTTTCTCCACCTATCCTCCACCACATTGAACCCAAAATTCGCTTTAAAATCACTTCGACCCCCCTCTGTAAATTCCAATGCTTCAAGGTCTCAAGCATTTCCAAGTTTGAAGCCTCGGTTTATAACAATGAAGAAGAAGAAGACGAAGAAGAAGAAGAGGAGGGAGCAGCCGATGCTTCTGTGGAGTTTGAGGACCTGGCTCCGAACGGTGTCGTTTACCAGAGTACCCTGAGGTTGGTGGAGTGCGCCATGTTCGCCGCTGTCACCGGTCTAGTATATTTCTTGAGCAATTCTCTGGCAATTGAGGTTCGTTTTGGTTAATCTGAGTTAATTTTTTTAATATTGGGTTTTCATGGATTATATAGATTCTTCACTCAGTTCTGTTCAGGGGGGATTGGAGGGTTCAAATTATAATGATCCTCGAATTGTTTTTTTAGCTTTTAGCTTTTAGCTTCTTAAATTCAGCTTTGTTTTGAGGAGATTTCAATTAGCAGCAGAATTTGTGGGCAAGCTCTTGGCTTTAGAAGCATTAATCTTTATACTCTCACGATTACCCAGATGGGTCACTTTTTGAAACTTGTTTGCAGAAATTAACTCCATGATTCCATGTTTTAGTCTGCCGTGAATGGCTCTTACTTGAATACAATTGTCGTGCAGAACTACTTTGGATGTTTCTTTGCCTTGCCAACAGTGATTTCCTCTATGAGATGGGGTGTTGCCGCTGGGAGGAAACAAATGGTAAGACCCCGTGGTATATGATTTTGGGATTCTTAAAGAGTTAACATCAATTTTGTGCTTAACCATTGTCTTTTGTTTGGAAGGTTGCCACGGTTATGCTGTTGTTTGTCTTGGCTGGTCCTGTCAAAGCCTTAAATTTTCTGGTGAGCTCACTTCCATAAACACTTGATATTTGGAATGGCTACTTGAACCTCAGACATGAACCGTGATGATCTCTTGTTTTAAAAAAACTATAGACTTCAGTTAAGGTATAGGTTTTGACTTGTCCCTTAGGGAAATAATGTTATTTTGGGGATGCTATTGATTGAATTTAACAGTGAGTGCTTTTTTCCCATGCACAGTTTATGCATGGAATCCTTGGTTTGACGATGGGTACTTTGTGGAGGTATGGCATGTGTAACTTGAAATTTTCAATTTGTTTGGAAATATATATGCATTATTAATTATCCCTGTAGAAATTGCAGAATGTGGCATACATTGAAGAATTCTACTTTTCCTCTTCATCCTTTAATGTTTTCTCATTCTTAATAGTTCATAAGATCCTTTTTCACATATGAATACGTGCCTGGTGCCACGATCTAGATAAGTTTTTAACTGACAAAAGTTATTCTTGCTGTCGTCAACCCCTCTTATGTTAATATTCAAGAACAATGAAGGTTGATATATCTTCTCACTATTGTCTTCCTGGTTTTTGTTTTCTCAGGTTGGGAACTAATTGGGGCCTTTCAATTTTCTTATGCACAATTGTAGTGTCTGTTCCCTTTTGTGCTGGATTCTTTTCTTTTATAAGAAGCAGTAGCCTTCTCTTTTGCTTACATTTTCAAAATCTAAATTGCAGGCTCGATCAATTGGTGCTGTGGGCTATGTTTTGACAACCTCCTTCTTGATAAGAGAAAACATACTGGCTCTGGTAATTGTTTGCCACTTTACCTCTTAACATTGTGCTGAAACTCAGTGAATGGCAATTTACCTCTAACATTATTCCGAACTCAGTGTCAACCATTCACTTACAGCACTCTTTCATATGCTTGTAGATCACCATAAACATCCATGCATCTTTGACATTCATTTTTGCTGCCATGGGCATTAATTCCGCTCCCTCAATGAACTTCATTTATGTCCTGTTTGGGATTTTGGTATGTTCAAGAAACACCTCTTCACTCATCTCCTTGTTCTTTTCATTCATTCAATTGCAAAGGTTACTGTGAGTCTGATGAGAGTGATGATTCAACAGGTATTGCTGAACAGCGGATCATTTGTGTTCTTGTTACATCTCTTGTACTCAGTGTTCCTTACAAGGCTTGGAATGAAGGCTTCATTGAGATTGCCACGATGGTTGGAGAAGGCCATATAATGTCATCTTAGTTGTCTCATGTCCGTGATTTGTAATCCGTACACAACCACACCACTAAAGGTAGCTTGAAATCCAGCAGCTATTTTTGGGGAAGTAGAGTAGATAGAGATCTATATTACAGTCACCATGATTCTAAGCAATTCAATAGGCCTCGAGAGGGTCGGATCACCATCACATGACGCATCCAAGTACACAAGGCCGTTTGTATTTTTGTTTACAACTTTGAGATTTCGTAACTTGCAAAGCCAAAGAATGTATTTATATATTTAATAGAAGAAAACTCTGCAAATGAATTTCTCGATTGATTGATTACAAACTTCCTAAATTAATGAAAATCCAAAATATTGGTATAGGATTTCTCTTTCGGTTGGCAAATTGAATGTTCACTCTCCTACGTAAAGCAACTACCCAGGAAAATTAATACACAAAACAGTTTACAGACCTATATTTGCCTGCTCTATTTTGAACTCAATGATATACAACAATGTTGACAAAATGCACCTCTTAATGGGTTTAGAATAGAAGCATATCCCTTATCAATGCTGTATCAAAATTGATTTGCCAAATACCTAGCAGCTCCGGTTTGCTCCCAACTTTCCGCTAGAATACAAGTCCAAAACTGAAAACTAATTCTCCATCAATTTGACCTCCAAGCACTAGATTAAATTCATAAATTGAAAGTTAGAGAGCATAGTCGAAACCCAGATTCTAGTCGGCAATGAATCCAAGTTAAGCTGAAGCAAATATATGAGACAAAAGAGTGGCATACCTAAGACAAGTATTACCAACAATTATGCCTCTTTCCTAGTTATCCTGTCATTTAGCAAAGGAATTACAATTAGGAACACAATTGTAGGAAGAAGCTATCGGGATTGGATATGAAGCAAATATAACAGACTTGATTATCCATTAAGATATTTAGGGCCGTTAATTATTTATCCAAAAATGGTATAATCAGAACCTGACCTGACACATGTTCAAACAAAGAAATGCATGTAGCTATAGAATGATATGCTATGGTTTTGGAGAGTACATTTCCTCGAACTTAACTCAAGGCAGTTTTTGTTGTGAGAGCAACCTCGAGCCATTTTATAAATCACTGCTCTACACAATTTCTTTTGGATGATATTATTACATGCTGAAATGAACTCAATGGGCAGAACAACTTTCTGACCTGAAGCAATTTATTCCCAACGCAGTTGTGATTTCATGAATGACTGAGGTAGCAAAGTGTAAGTAGTGATACTGCTTGCAAAAAGAGATCATTAGGCTCCGATTCAGTATGAGATTTATAAATAATGTGGAACACAAATCTAGGAGTAAAAACATAAATAGACGACAGACATGCACACAAGTGATCAACTCAAAAATATAATTATGAACTGGTTCAATGTTAATCATAGCCAACGAATTTGGCAAACGTAATTGCCAAGAATTTACCATTATTCAATACTTATGGCAATGGATTATCAAAATAAGGTCAAGTAGAAAATGAGTCCAATCAATTTGGAAAAAGATAATGTTAATCAGTATAGAAGATCCGTTACCAAACGCCATAGACTCTATATGCGTAATAATACACAAACCTGTGAATATACAGTAACCAAGAAGAACCCAGAATTCATCAACTAAAGGAACCCTGCAGGAAGAATGTAAAGAAACAAATGAAAATAAAGATCCAACAGCATTGCTGAAATGAACAAAGACTTATTCCAGCCAAATTTACTGAAATGGATTGGGCAATGTCTAACGTCATAAGTAAAATCTGACAACCACATACCCATCATTCAGTCTAGCTGTAAGAGCATTTGCAATCGCCAAGGGAAGATACAAAAGTGACTGCAGAAAACAAATGTGTGAGAGTTCACAACGAAAAATATGTGAGGTGAAGGTGCTCAGATGTTAACTATAAACCAAGTAAATTGGCCAAATACTTTAAATTGAGTAATAGAAGAGTGCTGCATACCATGCACATGTTAGTTTTCAATCCCTTGGGCTCATCACAAAGGTGAGCCAAAATCATCCTACCCTGTCAAATCCAGCAATGCCTTTGTAAGATAGCCATCAGATTTATAATGTAGGAACATGAGAGAATGGATCAGGGTAAAAAATTTAAGGAATCGTATGACTCATTTTGTAAGAGGAGCCATACAACCAATTTTATTTACCAGGTGCCAAGTACCACCTATAGCCACAGAGAACATAACCCAACCCACACAACAAGGAAAATTAACAACTAACTGTCAATTCCTATCTTCATTAACCTTGATAGCACTTTAAACAACCTATGTCAACCGATGCAATCAAATAAGCATAGAAATCTTACCACCAGGAACCCAAATGCAAGTCCAGTTCCCAATAGAATTAGATGAGGATAATTTCCTAATATATCAGACGGAGAAAGATAATCCCTGTAGACCAAAATAGCATCCTGAATAAGTCTAATATGCACATCAAGTTAAAGTTGGGTAAAGCAAAAACGTGCAAGTTTAATCATACCAGACTAGCACTCCTCCCAGGAGTACAACAAAAGGGTAAAGCTGACAGGAAAAAGGATAAAATGAGAAATCCATTAAAAATAGCTTGAATGAGGAAAGAAGTGAAGAGATTGCTAAATCACCATTGCTAATGCCATTGGCATGCTTCCTTTTCTTGCCTGAACAACCTCATAGACATTGCATACACTGAAAAATGAAACCACGCAACACCATAAGAGAAGTACTAGTTGAACTTATACATACTGCAGCAGCAATTTCTCTCCAACCCACGTCTGAAATAAGAATAGAATAGGGAATCCAAACTGATACAGAAGGATACAGGGGAAACCACTAACTTGAATGTGATGGTAGGTATAACACCAAAGGCTGTCATCCAATACAACACAGCTTTGTATGTTGGAATTTCTGAAGGCCAAAAGTGGAAAAAAAGGTTTACGATGAAACTGTAATTATAGAAAAAGAATTGCAAAAGAAAAAGCCAGCCAAGGAGTCTAGATGTCACTAGAGAATAAAAAACTGAGAAGCAATAACAAAATGCTGACCACATTTTGACACACTAAATCGTTTAGTTCTGTTGATGATTGTACTGATAACTAATGACAATCTTACCACTTATAAAAGGCACCCAACTAAAAATAGACATTGATTTCCCAAACTGCTGAGACCAACACTGGGCACCTTAAGATGCAAAAAAATTCAAGTAAATACCAAAGTGAAGACAGCAAGGAGAAGGTAAAATAAAGCAAAAAAGAAAAAAAAATACAAAAAGTAATAATGTTGTGAGCAATGACATAATTAAAATGGAGGTTTCAAAATATAGCCTTTCAAATGTCAAGGGCCTAAGAGAACATGAACTGAAGAAACATACCAACAATTGCTGTCATGAAGTGGCATGTGTAAATCAAAGCAAGACCCTCAGTAGGTCCATTGATAACTGGAAGAATAAGTGTATTGGTAAAATAGCTGCATCACCAAAAGGGTGAAGATATTAGCAGTGCTAACAGAAGTTCCAACGTTTTACAGAAGCTTGATTAAAAACGTAAAGTAGTCCATAAAATTTACACATATATGGGATTGAACCATGAGAGTGAAAAACATAAAGAGGCATAAATAGAACCAACCTAATCAGGGTGCATAATACATAGTTTTCTCGTCCCAATCAACCAATCAGGTGGACTTGTCCACCAGAGAAACAATATTCAAATAAAATTCAGAGAACAACCCATTTAATTTCAGATATAGATAGCAGGATATTACGTCTTTCACTTATAAAGAGTAAATAATTGAAATGTCATGAACCACTCACTGTTCCCATGTTGCACTGTAAAATGGAACAGCTGCAATCACCCAGAACCAGAACGTGTACCTTCCACACAAAGCAGTGCTCCCAAATGCCATGCTTTCAAACTACAGAGAGGAAACAAGAAAAAGTTGCATGTGCATAATGTAGAAGTTATAGCAGCCGTGATTATCTAATACAAAAAAAAAAATACCGCACATGCAAGTGCATCACATCCTGTAAAACGTTGGGAATACCAAGTGAACTTCCTTGGAA